AAAATCGTAAGATAATGATGCAAAAAATTGGACGGTTGATTTTATTTCGCATGATAGGTTTTATATTTTCATGATATATACTTACAGTTCTTTTAGCAAGAATTAGTAATTTCGATGAATGATTTGACCGAATGGCTGAGGAAGCAACATCTTATCGAAGTATTGGTTCGTGATAATTTGCATCACCCGTCATACTGCGAGAGGTTTTGCATTTCCCACATCTTAACTAAGCTTTTACTGAAAGATTTAATTAGGCAAACTTTATTTGATAACTTTGTTGATTAATGGTCGTCAAATGAATGAAAACGCAACGTTCTTTTCCAAAATATTAAATTAATATTTTCAGGTTGGAAAGAGTATTCCGAGTGTTACTAGAAAGAAATGCTGTAACAGTGGATGACTTGGATATCTTATGGAATGTGCAGCATGAAAGGCATGACGTCATCCAGCGAAATGTTCACGATCTAATAGCAAAGTTAGTTAATGGGTTGAACAATGTATTGCAAAAACATTTGTTTGAACGAATGAAGGTGAGAGTTTGTGATTCTCAGTTTTCCTCATTCTTTTTTAATCTGTAAGGATTCTGTAAATTCAATTTATATTTTCAGAATTTTTGCTCCAACTAGTTTCATTTTAATAGTAGCTGTTGGTTCAACTTATTTTAATATTGTAACGATTCCGTAATTACTTCCCGTAATTTAAAAAATTAAAATTGAAGTTTGAGAGTCAAAATTATTAATTGTCGAGAATGTTGGAAATTGTATATGTTAAGGAGAGTTGGACAAAGTCATCTTCAAGACAGCGAACACTTCTACTTGATCTTATACGTCGAATTGGTGTCGATTTCAGTAGTCTTACGGAAAAAGTAACTCTTATCATCCTTCTGTTGCTTAGAATATCAAGCTTAGCATGCAGTGTTCTGTGATTAATTTTTGCCAGTCGAAATCTCATTAGCAATGACTGCATAATATAGAAATCGAGAGAACTCATACCACACATGCTTCAATAAACCAGGAAATTATGACAACAAAGATAGTTTGGCCAGTAGTCACATTAAGCAAAATGATTCAAAATGCGAACCTATTTAGAGATTTCAGTTCTCGGCTGCATTGGACGATGATTAAATGTTTACCAAGACCTCATTACAATGAGTAATCGAATAGGTTTAGTGATCTCGTTTTTCATTATTAGCATGTTTCAATGTTCCGAAATTTCTAGCAGCTAACTATAAAATCTCTTTCGCTGCTGTGGGATTTGTTCCATGATGAGCGGTTACCTGTGGAAATGATTGATGCAGCTCTGGAAGCACATTTCAATGTATTAGAAAGTGCAGTACCAGCTGAAGAACTACGGCGACATTACATCGAACGTTGTATTGACGAACTACTTCTAGATTCAGGTTGTTCGTTCAAGATGATTAATTGACGAAGATTTTCGTAACAAAACCATGGGAGGGATTAATAAAAGATATTTCATTTATCCCGAAAATGATTGAGCTGCAGTAGGAATATGCAGCTTATTAGATTTTAGTTAGGTAAAAATATTATATTTTGTACTTTTGTAGATTTCTCAATTTCTTAACTTCGTAGGTTTAGATCGGCTTTTCCTTTTTGAAGATTTTTTAAATCAATATAATATTTTTTACTCGGCGATGGACACATATCAGATTGTTTTGGGATTTCTTTTCTTTTTTTCAGTATTTGTACTTCCGGCGTTGAAGCATATGCAGCGATTAATGACTTTAATGCCAGAATGTGACTATAGCACAGGCAGAAAAGTAACGAGGTGAGTTTTTAATTACTATTGGCTTAAAAATTTGCCTTGTAATTTCCAGGTAACTAATTAATCTTAACCTTTAATCCATCTCTGGCAGTTCTTTTTCTTTTTTTTTTTAAGTCTGATAACATTTTGCTAAGGCAACTATCCAATCGAAAGGTCATCTGTATTTTGCGAAAATTTCTTTTGGATTTGCAGTTGCGTCTTTCACGGATGTATTTTATCCTCACAATGCTGATAATGAGGAAGTTGTTTCAAAACGATTGGTGGCACGAATAAAATTAATATATTTGAAGTGGAATAAGCCACTTAATTTGGACAATCTTAAAAGGGAGATGATGAAGGAAATATAAGGTGAAAGAAGACAAAAGAGGGGTAGAGATAGATGAATGGTAATAACAATGATAATTATCCAAAGTGAAATCGGGAAAAAATGATAAGGAATGAAAAAGTGGCATGTTTGGCCTGTATGACTTTTATTGTCTCTAGATTCTTAACGAATTTTCTTTTTCTTTAAGGGCAGAATATATCGCCACTGTACAGCAAGATACAGAGCTATGCTCAAGACTGTCGAAAAATGTTGCTCTATACATGGAAAAAGTACGAAATGCCATGGTATGCATGCATATTTGTTGTTGTCTCAGAGACATTCTTCATTCCAAAAACTAAAGTCTTGCAATTTTTCTGGCTCATCTATCCCAAACTTTAATACAACAGTATTGCTTTAGTTTTGATCATCAGGAAATATTCTGAGTGGTCCATTTACGTGCATCTGCACATCTAGCAATCGATAATATTTCTCCTTATTATATCCAATTTTTAGAATGATCAACCGCATGTTTATACTGCTGTAGAAGACGCAAGTGTTGTGATGTTTGTTGGTCGTTACACTCATAGCGATAATTTACGAATTCGGCTGGGTTTTCTACATTTTCTTCTCACCGATGGGCAACTTTGGCTTATGACACCGCAGGTTCATCCTACTTTTTTTCCCCTTCCCTTATTCATTATGAACCTTCAAAACTTGGAGTCACTGAAAGGTATTTACAGGCGAATGAGTTATGGGACGCTCTTATTGCTCGATCAGTATTTGAATATGAGCGCACATATGGCTTCCAGCTATTTGCTACAATGCAAGATCAAGAAGATATCGATCCAAAAGCACTTGATCAGCTTTTTACATGTAACTTTTCTTGTCCGAAATTTTTTTTTGACTTTTCAGTTTCTTCCTAGATGCTCGAATAACAAAGTTACTATCCGACCATCAAAATGCTTTTTTTGAAGAAAAAGAAGCGTACATCAAATGTGCCAGCAAATGATCATCGTTAGGAAAACTCTTAAGCCGCTTATTTTCTTGTAACTGATGCAGCATATCGTGCTACTTAATTCAAATATTTCAGCAGAAGAGCTTTGCATAATTCCTCAAACTACTTTATAATTAAGCTTGTTAAATGCTTTCGGAACATTGGTTCCAGGGTTTTTTTTTTTTGTATTCGCTAATGTCAAAAGGTTTTTCAGCTAGGATTCTAAAACTTCCAGTTGAAATGCTAAACGAGGAGGGTTTTTCATGTTTCAAAACCTTTTGGACTGCAATAAACAAAAAGCATAGTAAGCTCTTCCAACCCACTGAAGGGATGTCACATTATTTGATGTGTGATTTTGATCTTGAGGTAAGTGGACATATAATATAAAAAACAGTAATGTTTGCATTCAAGCTGAGACATACGAATTGAAATTAGGGACATTAAGAGGCTAGAAATCCTTTCGAACATCATTGAATAATATTGCGAGCAATAGATTTTTCAAAGTTTGCATTATGAGCTGTTTATCTTTATGCTGTGCGCTAGAAGTTTACTAATTGATCCGAACATGTCGAACATTTTTAACCTCAGCTCGATTTTTGATTGCAAACAACAAGCCTATTACATAAGATTCTCTCTGATGCGAGTTAGGAATTCGTTAGTTTCTTTCTTCTCATGCGGTGAACTTTTTCACATCATATTGTTGACGCTGAATCGATATAGTGGCATTCATCAATGCATGTATTTCACATTTCCTTAAAATTTGGAATTTTTGTCGTTTTCCTGTATTTGCAGGGAATGGATTATTTGTGGGAAATAATGCTGCAAGCTCGTGGCGAAGTATCACATTTAGCAATTTCCTTATGGGTCGAGATTTTAGCAAATCCCCATACTGCAGTGATTTCCGATTTTGCTCATTTGATTCAAACAGTCGTTAATAAATGGTTAGTTGCACTTCATAATATTTTTAATAGCTTCTAGTTTAAGGCGTTAGATAAAAAATGGTTATTCTACTTACAAATTGTCTGCCGTATTCTGTCTTTTTTGCTGCTTCATGAGAATGACTTTCTATAGTAGAGTGAGTCATGTAAAGGGGAAATAGAGGTCGTAGCTTCAGGTAGCCATGTGCATTTTAATTTATGGTAAGGTGGAATTTGAGGAGACTAAGAAGAAAACGAACTATTTTTTTATTTTAGTTTTGTAATGCTGAAAGCGAAACACGACGATCTCATAAAAGGCGATAATACTGATGAGGAAAAAATGAAAATGCTTGATCGAATGGGTAGAATTTTAACGGTAACTTTTTGATCAGATTAATACAATTTTTAATGGAGAGATAGAGATTTCCAAAAGATGAAATAAAATGTGTGTGATAGAGGTTTTTGGATGCATTGAGTTTTTTGGGAAAATTTTTATAGAATTCCAATATTGCTTGATGTAACAGTTTGAGACTGTACCAGAAGAGTGGTAATATTGGGATTGCTTCATTAAAAATTTAATCTTGACATTAGTTCTTTATATTACCGGGTTTTCAGACTCTTAATTCTTATATCTGTGCATTTGACGATGATTATTACATTCCTGAAAGATCTCAACAACCACTTCGTAAGGCGGGTTTAGGACGGTGCTTTTTATTGCCAGTCGTTTTCCCAGGTATTTTTAAAATAGTTCCATAATACTGAATGATCTGTTTCTGGACTGATAAATTGTAACGATGAAGTTTTAAAAGTTTTCAGCTTATCTTCATATCGTGATCAGTTTTTTTATGAGTTCGGTGTTCCGTTCAGTTTTATTTTCTAAAAAATGTAACATGCAGAATATGCAAGCAATTGATTATGGAAATAAACTTGTAAATGAAGACTAGATAAGTTAATATATCAAAAGTTTTTCTTTATTGCTAAACACTGGAAGAGATGTGCATATTAACTTTTATTTTGACAAAACATTTTCTTTTTTTATAGTTGTCATTAACGTTTGAAAATGCTTATAAACATGTATAAGATCTGTATAGAAAATTTATTCAAAACAGTGTTAACTATTAAATTATTTAGATGAGAAATTACCGAGCGGCATCGAAACGAACTGTGAGTTTATATTCATGTAGTGTCTTTTTTTGCGCAGTTTTTTTAAACCTTACTTTTTTTTGTTATGTTTGGGTTTTCAACAATTTTCCCTTATTTGTTTGGTGCACTTCGAAGTCTCATTTTAAATCAGCTGTTTAATCTATCCAATTTTTTCAACTTTCCATTTCCAAGACAAAAGCGTCAGCCATACTTCAGCATCAGTAGTGCAAGACGAAGATCACGGTATTCCGGTTCACTCTACTATGCCGCTTTCAGCATTAAAACTCAAGGCATGTAACAGTTTTTTTCCTTTTTTGAGTGAATGTGCATCATTTTGAGAGAGCTGTAAGTGGAAGTTGCTTCGAATTTTGATCATTTACATGGTTCAAGTATAACGAGACGAAACCTGTTGTCAGAACTTTCAAAAATATTGAGAAAATGCTGCGACATTTGTCATTTAGTGTAAATAAAATCGCAATCAAGCTAGCAGAGTGTGTGGGTAAGGTGATTCGGCTTCCAAAACGTTAACCATTGGGAGAATTATTTTTTCACTTGAATGAGTCATTTCAGATAAGTTCAAAGCATTCGCGTTTTTATTTTCGGGATGAGTTTAAGGAAGAAAAATTTTTTAATTTTTCGAGACCAATTTCAGATTGATGACCAGTTGCGATACATGGAGGGCTGCAATATTGGTGGAGTGCTTGTACCAGTACAGTTGACCGTTCAGTCTCTTAATCCACCAGAAACAAGAATATTGCATCCGTCTGATCGCCGTAAAACACTTGATGAATTAGGGGTCGATGACAGTGCGCATATTATAATCCATTTTCAAAATCATTCGTGTACATGGAACAGTCGGTTAACTAGCACCGATTCGAGCCCTGACCAAACATTTACTTCTTGGTTTGAATTTTTTTTTTAAATGTTAGTTGAAAGAAATTAATTACTACGCGGACTTTTTTAATTGGCTTTTTGTTTTTTCCACTTGATGTGGCACAGCTTAAGCAAGATGAAGTTTGGTAATTGAATGGGAACTTTTGGAAGGGATAGTTCAGAAGCAGTGTTTTTGTTTCAGTCATGAAGGGACTGCAGCTAGTAATGAAGAAAATGAGCGTATTTTGCCGGGCGCTGTAATAGCCGAAAACTCAGATCATGTTCGATTCCTTTATACTTTAGCCGATATCGGTTATGCGTATGGGAATAATTATTTGAGGAAATCTGCCACTGATGTCTTAAAGTAAGTTTTGTTCCTCTTCTTTCAACTTTTGCAGCGATTTTTTTTTTTTTTTTTTTTTGTCATTCTACCCGGAATAACAGGTTTTCATAATTAGATCTGATGAAAATTTTCAGTCAAATACCACCAGATACAATGTCAGTAACGATGCTAAGAGAATTAGTGGAATCAGGACGATTGTTTGATCTGTTACCATCTGAATCATCTAATCATGTTTTGCATCTTTTGCGTGTCCTACATTCGTTACTTTTGCCGTGTAATGGTCATTTCATGACTGAAGCCACGGAATTCCAGGTTCGCTTTCTCAGTATTTCGATTTTTCATCTCCAAGAATTCTTGGTACGTTCCGAGATCCATGTATCCTGAATCTGAAGATGACATTGTTGATTGCCTAGAGATATAGTTTTGTAGCCTAAAGCTAATGGTCATGGCCTGGAGCTTATTAAACTGTAACTCAAGCATATCTACGGTTTTCAACGTTGATAAATGTTTCAGATCCTTTTCCTTACATCACCAAGTTGTTTGGCCGTGTTTTCATTTCTGGGAGATCCTCAAATTTTGTGTCGATGGGATGAATACGCTTGCACTGCAGTGGTTTGGTGGTTGGCAAATATAGCGAAATTTGTTCTCTTCGTGGCAGCACGCCTCAAAGTATGCATTATGCAGTATGCATTTTTTGCACTTCTGTTACACTGTCGCTCACATTTATAGTTACTCTATAATGATAATTTTCGTGATTTATGAGGAATTATCCGCGATCTTTATTCTTAATATTTCAAGATTGCTCAAAATAATCAGTTTTATTTAGTACTTGAGGACCACTGATGGGAATGGAAGTAGGTGTTTTGAAACGGGTCAAGTCATTGATCGTGAACAAACAGTTTTTAAAGAGGTTAGCATTTTATATACAATAACAGTATGTAAACTATGGTTGCTGTTGGAAACTGTTATAAGGTACGAAAAGTACCACAGTTCACCATATTGTATTGCGATTCGAAGCTCCGGAAATTATTTGTGCTTACGGATATAGGTGAAAAAGTATAAACAATAAAGTGAAAACCGTCCAGTCAAATTGGATTTTCGTGTTTAATAAGATTATGGACTATCATTACTGAATCGGTTGTTAAAAAGAAAATCTTTGAAGGGAAGTTTACCGAATAAATTAACATCCCTTCGTTATTTTTACAGCTTTGTTGTGTAGTTGCACGTGATCTCAATGATCGTATCGAAGAGAATCCCGAAATCATTGAAACAATTTTTCAATTATTCACCACAGACAACAGTCGTATTGAATGTCTTCTACGACTTGCATGGGCAGTTGGTTCACGAAATATACCGTTACGTCCTACTTCGGGTGGTTTGGCGAAAGATTCATCTGCCGAAACAATCCGGCAATCACAACCTGCAGCTTTTATGCTGGTAATTTATTTTGCAAAAGTGTGCATTTTTAGTTTACATAATGAAGTTTAATCTGTTGTTTCAAGGAAGAAGAATAAAATCTCTTAGTTTTCTTCCTTACTCGAGGTTTCCTGAACAATTAATTTTCTGTCAAGTTTTTTTGTGGCGAGTTTGGTGATGAATAATTCAACATGATTGATACAGGAGGAACCAACGGAATGCTTGTTGGATGCATTTGCGATAGAGGTTGTTAGTGGCGACGCAACGTCAGAAGTTTTCAAAGTCATCCATCTGTGGAATCTTCTCATATCTGATTTATTGTTTTGCAAAAGCTCGTACGTTTTATTGTGTCTCCGAAAAAGAAGTTTCTGTTAATGAATTTGATTTTCTTTTTATATCAGAAATCGTAATTCTAGGCGGGTAAAGAATACTTCAATTCGGCTCAGGATTTTGCAGAAAGGCCTTGGGGAAATTACGGATATTTGAAATTTGCGACGATTTAACGTTCGTTTGTCACTTTCGGAAATTTTCCATTATTTTCAGGGTAATCCGCCGTTATTTCTCAGCCTTAGTTCGACGAATGGTTTGTCGTATGGGTTCGGCAGAACGGCAGCTCTCATCAGCATTGTTGCAGTTACTTTTCAGCAAGCTGGAAGAAAGTGATGAAAAACTAATGAAGAATACGGAATTTTTTATTTTATTGTGCAGGTATTTTGAAATTGTGGTTAACCTTGTTCGTTATTGGATAATGATCGAATTCAAAAGAACTTTACAGAGGATTTATTCGTAGATTCATGGAAATCACATAAAGGAATTATTGAGTTGGTAGTAATAAACGGTTATAACTGTGGTTGTAATTTAACTGTTTTCGGTAGTTTGAAACAATCGATTTTTAGGGAAGTCATTTCCAATAACATATTAGCAGTAGAATTCGTCTTAAATCATTTTATTTTTGTTAAAGTGTTAATTTTTTAAGCCTGTTGGATCACTGCAGAAATAATCAAATTTACGTTGACGATATAACACAGCGAATAGAAAAAGTCTTGGATTGGTTGGATCGTGCCAAGGTAAGACACTTGAAGCTTCCGAATTTCATTTCTTTCAAGTATTATTGATATTGCAGTAGATTACAAAAATATTGATCTGTCAAATAAACTCTGTTGAATACTTAGAGGCATTGCTATACGACTCCCTAGTCAATTCATACCGAATTCGCAATTTCTGGATATTTTTCAAAAACGTTTTCTACATCGTAAGCATTTTAGCAGCACACTATTGCAAATCAGGAAAGTTATCCTGATGACAGGTCATTAATTGGACGGCTTGATGTATGTCGTGGTTTACTAGGATTTCTTACAAGCGAGGAGAAAGTTATGATTGGTTCGGAACCTAATGGTACGCAGCTAGTCAAGGTAATCATTTAAAGGGTTTTTCATTATTTCCATATGTGTCACAATTTGAGAATTTTCAGTGTGTTGAAAAATTTTCTGGAGCGATTCCTTAAAATTCCTTATAAAGTTATCTTTTTAATTTTACATGTAATTTTATATGATACATTTGACATGCACAATTCATTTTTCCGCTTTAATTTGCAGCAATTACTGGACGAGTTTATTTTGCCATCTTCGCGAACTTATGTTGATTTGATGCGGCAGAGAGAAAACGATAGTGATATTCATATACAACGTTCAGTGACCCATTCAGCAATCTCAAGAGATGGTAAACTGTTGAAATGATAAGATCATTTTATTTGCAGGATGTTGGGTTAATTTATACGTGAAGGAGGTAGAAATGCTTAATCTATAATTAAAAGGCTCATACAATGCTCGTACTACTGATACGAGTTCCTTGCCTATAAGAATATTGATATTTTAAAGTTGCCAACACTTTTCAGGTATAGATGAGTCGGATAAGACCATTCCGCGTTCAGAAACAATGGGCCCATTACTTTCTTCACGTTCCATTCCAGTATGTGGTACCAGTGAAAGTGCCAAAGCAGCCTACAATCTGATTGTTGCGCTTTGTGACACAGCATCGCTGAACTACCGATGCATAGTTGAAAGTCTTCTCGAGCTTTTCTACTCAGGTGCTTCATCCTTACCAACTGCCGATGTTTTGGAGAGTATTGTCTTGCTTCCTGCTAATTGATGAGAGATTTACAAAGTCAAAAGTTTTATGTTTATATTTTTCGTTAGAATGATGTTTAGTGATACTTAGAACACTGGTTCATGGCTTGTGACCCATTTTCAATTTCAATAAGTACATTTGCAGAACCAGTTCCTACTATGAATATTGAATGGGAATATATGCCCGGATATTCCATTCGTTCACCGAACAGTTACGTAGGACTGAAGAATGGTGGAGCTACTTGTTACATGAATTCTGTTTTCCAACAAGTACGTTTCATCTTACTCTCGTTTTCAAGGGATGCCATAATTTTGGCTTATTCAATCAATTCCAGTGCAGTAAATCCAATTCGAAACCAATGCTATTAATGCGAAAATTATCCAAAAATCCAGTGTATTATGCTTCTCGTTGATGTTAGAACTACATATTGGAAACAGCCAAAAATCAGACTCGTGAATGGAGAGCTGTTAACGGTTCAAACTGCCTGGTCCTAATTAACCAGTCATTGCTTTATTAACTAAACTAAGCTTGAGCTTCCTAACCAAACTTAAGTTCTAGAAGCATATTAAAAGCATATTCTAGGATCCGCTAAGCTAGACATAATGAAACAAGTTCGTTTTACAGATATTCATGATTGAACCGTTGCGGAACGCCGTTATCAATGCCAACTTTATGGATGACATGAGCGTCGAAGAAATGGTTGTCAATGTAAGCTCATATTTGTTCCAAGAAATTTGTGCTTGTTATCAACTATCCTTTCAGATTAGTGTTTTTTTTATTTCATTTTCAGGAATGCAATGTTTCGGAGGAACACTATCATACAACAATTTTAAAAGCTGTACAATCAATTTTTGCGCATCTGCTTGGCTCTGAGATGCAGTTCTATTCTCCAAAATTCTTCTGGAAGCACTTCCGGTTAGTTAGAAGTCATCGTTTGCGTTAACTTTTAGCATTCATTTGACTTTTTTTTTGAAAAAAAAAAAGCGTTTTAGATTCTGTGGTCAAGCAGTAAATGTACGGGAACAGCAGGATGCCCTAGAATTTTACAACGCTCTTTTTGATTCCATAGATGAAGGTCTCAAGAAGTTGGGTGAACCGCCTATTTGTGAGAATTTATTTGGTGGAACATTCGCTGATCAGAAGATTTGCAAAGACTGTCCACATAGGTATTGCATGTTTGTCCATTTTTGTTTATTTTTTGGTGTTTTCAAAGAAATGTAAATATAATGACCACTAATACTTTTTACATTTATAATCTCCCTTGTATGTACGTCGATTTTCTGTCATCGCATTACTGTTGAATAGCGAGAATATTGAATAGCGTTTGAATAGCATATCCGAAGTTGGATGTATGGAAAATAACTTCTCGCTCTTATTCATTTTTTCAATATTTTTCTTTTTGTTTTTGCTTGAATGTATATTTTCTTGGTCAAAATATGCAGATATCAACGCGAAGAACCGTTTACATCAATCTCAGTTGATGTGCGTTCCCATAACAATCTCCTTGATTCACTTAAGGAATATGTGAAAGGAGATTTATTGAACAACGATAATGCGTATCTGTGTGAAGAATGTAATAAGAAAGTAAGATTTATACTCCATTTCAAAATATAGAATTTCATGTTCAGGCTTTTAATTCTTCGCGTTGAAAATTGAGCAAAAAAAAAATAAGAACAAAAACTGGGGCGATTTACTTTTTCTTTTTTCAGAAGTGTCATTTTATATCTTTTAGAAAATTCGGAATGGCGAGAGACGGATTTTTTTAATTAATGGTCGCTATTATTAATTAATAATCAGCTGATAACTAAGACTGGTGGGTCATATTTTATAGGTGACAGCAGTGAAACGATTATGTGTTGCCAGATTACCACCATATTTGACGATACAGCTGAAAAGATTTGATTTTGATTGGGAACGCGATTCACCACAAAAATACAATGACTATTTCGAATTTCCGATTGATCTTGATATGATGCCCTTTACTGCTTATGGATTAGCTCAAGCTGAAGGTATGTTTTGTATAGCTACATGAGCTGTAGTGAATAGCGAGATTCTTTGTATTTTCAATCAAGGCAAAACTTGGTTACTCTTCTCTTTCAGTTCATTCGACATAGCAGACGGATTTAAGAGATGTTTACGTCATCGTTTTATTCAGTGATTCTTCTAGTCTATTACTTTGAAACCATTACGGTCATCATTATTCTGTTTTTATTAACAACCTTCCAATAATATGGATTTTGTCATACTCTCAATATTAGCGTCCTTTATTTTCCCCAAATATATTCCCACTTGATTAATCAGTTTATTTGCAGGGGAAATTTCGAAAGAGGAGTTGACGCATTCGTCAGCGACCGATAGCGGTAGAGGTGCATTTTTTGAACGTTTTTTTTTGGGGAATATTTTTGTGGAATTTTAGAAATATTGGAAAATGTGCAGAAAGAATTCATCCCACTAGTGTAGACGAGATTAAAAAATCAAGTTAACTGATTTATACTTGCACTTATTTCTTCCTTTTCCAATGCGAACTTATTTTGATTAGATCTATGCTTTTTATTGAATCAGATCAGATTACAATTGCAGGCACATCTGAAAGAGCATCACCGGAAGCAAATGACATTTGTGGTGCTGCTGGTACATCCACGCCAGAAGTTAAACTAGATGATAATAAGTTCGTTGTTTCCGACTTTATAATGTTTGCAAAATAATTTTGGATAGCAATTATAATATGTGTGATTTCAGTTGCACGAAATACTGTTTACGTGGGGTAGTTGTGCATTCGGGACAAGCTAATGGTGGGCATTATTATTCATTCATTCGTTCCGAAGAAGATGGTGGTCGTTGGTTTAAATTCGATGATGTTGACGTAACCGAATGGCATTTGAACAAGGAGGTGATTTTTGGTAAAACAGTGGGAGAAAGGGAAGACTCTCATTATGTCACTTAAAAGTCGATGTCCCTTGGATTTCCTTGTTACCAATTGAATTATTGTATTATTAATCGCAAGCTTTACTTTTTTTTTCATTAATTTGCTTAGCTATTTGAATTTTTAGATTTTTGGGCATTTAAATTAATGGATCACTTTAGATTTCCTAGTTTATGGGAAAGCTAGCCTAATGAAGCAAGGGAAATTCAAGTATTGGGTTGGAAAATTCGAAAGCTGTGGTTGATATTGATATTTATCCAGCATCTGATAAAGCTTACTACATTTTCGTGGAATACGACCTTAAATGATGTTCACGTTTTTGGGATGCGTAGAAAGATTGAAAACAATTAGTTTTTTCTCTTTTTTTTTTGAAAACTGTACACATTTTTAGGAAATGCAAAGTATGTGGTTTGGTGGTGAATATATTGCTGAAGCATTTGAGAGTAACAGCAGCCATTATCAGAAGAAACGACAGAAGCGTTGGTGGAATGCTTATTTACTCATTTATGAAAAGGTTTTCACGAAATTGAAAATTTCGAAATTTTATTGGTTTTTTTTTTTGAGATGAGTAAATTCAATGATTATTTGTGTTGAATTAATAATTTACTCATCTCGGTTCAACTTTTTCTGTTATATGTAATGGTTACACTGCTGTATGTGAAACAAGATTGTGACAAGGCAATCCACGATATGCTATGTCATCTGGCAAGTCATTTGATTGGTCACTAGACATGGCTCCCAATGATTCGGAGTGTCTAAATTAACTTTCTAACATCTGACTGGGCCTATTCGTAATTCTCCAAGCTACGAATCCTTCAGCGCTCCTTTACTGTCTGCCGTTATTATTCCATCATTGTAATGGTCTTCTATACCGAGAATAGAAATTGGATCCAGCCTAAGCAATAATTTTTGTTTCAACCGGTCTTTTTTATAGACATCAATAACTGCTGCTTCTGTGGCATCATCATCAGTGGAACTAACGACTTCTTGCTCTTCTACACAGCCATCACATTCATCCTCCAATAGTCCACTTAGTTTGGATAAGAAAATAAGTGCCATGTCTATTAGTAAGTTTCCTCTCTTGCATATTTCCGCCTAATTTATCCGGAATGAAATACAAGTCTAAATTGTAGCCATTCGCGGATGCATATATTTTGGGGGACAAGAACCAGGATCTTTAAAGTTTTAAATCGATTAGAACATAGTTATTATCATACAATTATTGAAAGTATGTTTTACTAATCTTATACCCCCTTTCTTATTACTAACCTTTATAAAAACAAGAACTAGTGAGTTAGTATATAACAAATAAGAAATTTCGAGTTTTTTTGATGTCGAGCAGAATTTCGAATGAGGGAATAGACATATGTGCAACATGAAGAAAAAGTAAAATATGCATGCAATGTCTAAAATACACAAATACAAATATAACATGAATAAATACGGAATTTTAGGCACTCGTATCCGACATATGCCACCAAAACTGGAAGCATTGGTTCGCGGCAAGAATACTTGTGCTATGCATGAACGGTCGCAGTAAGTTGAAAAGTTTTGATACTTAATTTTTAAATTCGTACAGATATGTGCTAATTTTTTCAAGTCTTTTTTTTACCCTATTCTGCGATTTTACGACTGTTTCAACTATTATTCGTTGAATGTTATCTTATTTCAATGCACTAAATTTTATGTCGTATTTTAGTATGCTGTGATATACGTATAAACACACAGGGAGCTTTTTTATGTGCCATGAACACATATAGTCAGTCAAAAAAGGGGATATCTTTTGAATGCTTCAAGCTTATTGCGTCAAGTCCAGGGATTCGAAGGATTCCGAAGTTATATCGATTCATATTCGGGAATATGATTGATATAACTTTGATAAATTAAAAGCCTGAGTAAATTATCCTTTAGAGGTGTCTTTATGGGACATGAGAATAAGTCAAGTTTTTGGGTTGTGAATTATTTTTTTAAAATTGAAAATTTGAACTGAAAAAAAATTTTTATCTTCAACGGTTAATATATTTCCTCTGTTATCTGTAGAACTGCTATAACTTCTGCATATTATTTATACCTGAAAGTCAAGAACGAAGTCTTGAAATTAAACTGTTGACTTTCAGTATGACGAATTTTCAGATATACTCCGAATTACTTCCAGTTCATTCGGGATATATGCTCACGAGCGGTTCGAATGATTAGTCGGATGAATCTTGAATTTCAGGAGTAAGGCATTAATTAGTATTTTTTTTAAATGTATGTTTTAAAGCATTCCAAATCCGAACTTTTGATTAATGTTGTCTTTTGTGCAGGCTAATAGACTGCAAAAGATAGTTCTTGAATCATTTATTATTTTTTGCAGCGATTATTATTTATTAACAACAAAACTTCTAAGCAAATTTCTATTTTCTACTGGTCTCCGGGCAAGAAAAACGTTACGGTAAGCAGTTTAACGAACCAGTAAAAATGTGTCATTTACATCTACATTTTCTTTATGCTGTTCCTTTTTCTCCTCCTTCGCATGTGAATTTGACAAAATTTTCTATGTTGAATGTTTGTTTTGTCGTTCTTTATTTTTGTAGGAAATAAGAAGTTACAGGTCGGGTAATGTAACAGAATGGCAGAAAACTTACGAAGTATTGTTTGCATCATCGAAATCTTCTCGTGGATGGTTTATTTGTAATATCATGTTTCAGCCTAAAATGGTTGTTTTATATCTTCTTACTGCACCTTCGGCTGATGTAAGTATAAGGAAACTTTGAGGATTGGCACTTTGCAAATTCCAGCAGAAAGATTATTGTTTTTACCGAACTGATATTATGATGTAATGGGTACTGAGGAAACTATTTTTTTTTTCTCCAACGCGAATTCTAAAAGACATTTAATTTCGGTGGAATTTTGTTAGATAGTGGCATTAGTTACAACAAGTTTCATTTCCGGCCGCAGGCTTAGCGTAAGCAGATAGCTCCGATTATCCAAATGACTAATTAAAGATTTAGTTTTCAAATATCTGCTGAAAACATCGCTTTTGAATTCATATTATTCTACGATTTCATATGCTTGATTTTAGGTGCGATACTTTTTCACAAATATATTTGTAACGCTTCTGAATGCAGCAGCACATGATTATCTTGATGTTATTCGGCCGTATATGCGTAAGTTTCAAATGCTGGGTGGGAATTTTCGTTAGAAAATATTCTAAGCTACTGGTATTTCCAACTAATACTACTGATCTTGTTTTGAATTCATAGCTTAGATTACAGAAATAACTTCTGGTACTTATATTTCGTGCGAATTTAAAAGAAAATTTTTTTAACGGGAAATATTTTTCGTGATTGTTTAGGATCGGCTTCGGGAAAGTAAATATTAATTTTTCTAACGTTTCAGTTGCAGGAGATTGTCCTGATTTCAAAATTGATGCTGTTTATAAGCCGGGTGATACAATGTCTGATATGTTTATCACTTTGTTACTTATCATCCCTCGCAACTACTTCACCGAATTCAGCGTTCATCCTACCCAATATATAGCTTTGTTCAATCTTTATGCTCTATCAGGTTTGGAGCAGGTATCTCTCTCTCTGTGTTTTTGTGTTTTCCATTCCTATTTCTCGATTTACTCGAGTTTTCCGAAAGTGTATCCCAGTCGATAGGACTGAGCAGCTCAGCCAGCAGTAATTCTATACCATCAGTAATTATATATGGCTGGGCAGCTCAGCCATCAATAATTATATACTCAAGTAAATTAATGCATTAATTTTTTAACAAACCCCCATTAAGTCCTTACTTTTAAGGAGAGAATAATTTCAGAAAAGACAACTAGTGCGAAAAGGTGCCTTGCATGCATTGTTGGTGCTCATTTCACGAGATGATTATCATATCAAAGTGATTTATCAAGATAGTTCGAAACTGTATGAAGTTATTTCATTACTTCTCAGGACTTGTAAATTTGAATGGCAAGGGAAGGTGAGAAATAAACTACAGTATAAGCTAATTTGTGTTTTAAAGGCTAACCTCGAACCTTTTGTATTTATTTAGATTGCAGAAGGAATGCCCTAAGATAAATCTTAGTATAAAAATAATCAGCTTTTACTTTTTTGTAGAATGCCAGTTTGAATCCATATGCTATTACAACCAGTGGTCTTGTTCAAGCACCACAAGAAGTTGCTCAGTGGATGGATGAACCGGTCTTTGTTAATAGGTACTTCGGTTTTACTGTGGTTGTTTTTATTTGCTTAAACTTCTTATATGTCATATTTTTAATATATTTATGGACGGAGTAGAAAACATTGGCTATTTTATCAAGTAACATTATTAAGAGCATGAGATTGTGTTTTGATTCACGATATGATGCGAGACCCTAAACATATGCCAAACTTTAGGTTACTGAAGCAGTTGATCGAATTGCCTACTGATCGTGCAGTTGCACTGGACACTTTATTGTACTTGTGCTGGGAGAATCTTCACTTGACGAAAATTCTTCTCTGTCATTTCTCATTTGAGGTACATAAATGGTATAACTTCAATTAGTAACTTCAATTAGTAGCGTATTATAAATATATCAAAAAGAGGTAAGAGTCCCTACTTCTGCCTTAAAGACTTTCTTAAGAACTCTGCTGTATTGATATAATTTAAGGCTTAATTTCATTTTATATACTCAAAAAAGAGGGAAACAGATGGAAATGTTGTTCTTATTTGATTTAGTGAAGTTAGGGATGGATTTTTTGGTTAGCTAAATGGGAAACTCGCTTTAGCCATTTCCAAAACCACAGAAGAGCATGTTAAACGGAGACAGGACAATATAGGAAAAGCAGCCGTTTCCACTGCTACATTACGAATGAAGAAAAAGAAAAAAAAAGAATTTGTATTCTTTCATTCATAATATCTCAATGGAAACGGCTGCTTTAGGTCCTTAATTGTATATAAAAACAGTGAACCATCTCCTTCACTGTTCTCAATAAAACAAGATTTTCACCTCTTCATGGAGTAAAAAGAATAAAGTTATGAAATAAGAACTCCGTATCAAAACTTTTTCAGTTGAATTCGTACCGTAATTTTATACGTAACTTATTTGTATTCTTAATTCGCCTGTACTAATTCTTCGCTAAATCATTTCATTTTCAAGTGTCTATTTACACCGAATGAAGTGAAAAGTACAACAGCAATCATTGAAAATCTTTTTGAAATTAATGATTCAGTAAGAAGAGAGCGGCAGCGTTTGATACTTTTAGGTTTTGGTAAGTTGCAGTTTCGTCTTTTTCATGACTTTTTCAGGAATTTGTACAATCATGACAAAATTTAAAATTCAGTAACTGAAATATACTGTATTCCTGGCATTGGCATTTCAATACCAATGGCTGATTAAATTTGATCTTTTACAGTACCAGAATATTGATGATCGTAATCATTTATGTTAGCGGCTCAGATTTTTTTTCCACTAAAGGAATTTTGATTAAGTTTTCCCAAATTTATTTTCAGGTTTTGTCTCAACACAGTTCCAAATTTAGTTGAGCAATGATTGGTTTGACTGCATTAGCTTTAGTAATTATTCACCTTATACTACAATTTTCTTTTTTTTTCAGAAAAAGGCCATCAAAAGTATAAGGGCCTTGTTGCAATAATGTTCGGTCAGAGGGATATTTACTCATGGAAAGCGTATCATTTGTTGCGCACATTAATCAATATTGCTTCTGGTAATGACGAGATGATTAAGGTTGTACCTTAATTGTCACAGTAAAAGTTCTTTATTTTGATGTGTAAATTTTGCACGACTAATCTTTCGATTTACAATTTCTTTGTTCATTATTAAAAGGACGATAACTATAGAATTTGATGATATCAAGTGTAGAAGATTCCCACTTACTTTTTTAAACGTCAGTGATGTATGCCTTATGAATGTAAAAGAGAAACGATTTTTTTTTATTCTTTTTAGCAAATTTTATTTAATCCATAATTAAGATCCTTGCGGAAACTGAACAAGCTCGCAACAATTTATTCAAAATGAAGGATTGGTTTAAATTGCAACTTAATGCCAGTGTAAGCCAAAAATTTTTACTATAGAACTATCTCTTGTGGAATTAAAAGTTTTCAAATATTAATTTCAACAGTGTAGTGAAGCAGAAATATTAAAATTATTGAAGTGCCTAGATCATTTGTTGTTTGAACAAGATAAAAGTATCATCCACAGCTCCTCTTAATACTTGATACGGCACTGAGAATCTGTGAACATTTCGAAGAACTTGTGAACGATGATGTTCATCGTTGAAAAATAGGCAGCAGTGACCTATAGCAGTATCGTTTTTTTGTTATCTTAGAAACCTATAAAAAACCAGCGATTTTGTCGAAAAGTTTGTCAAGTTTGCTTTGTTTCATAAATTCAAGTTGTTTTCAGTCAGCTAAATCAGACATTTATGATTACGACAGCTGTCGCGATGATTTGGATAAATCGGGTGAGGCTGAAGGAATGGAGAGTTTTGTTGAAATTTATGAAAATTTTCAAGATTTTCTTTCGAAACTCGATGTTCCAGACGACGGTAGTTCTTTGAACGATGGCGATAGTTTTGCTAAGGATCCTTTTCTCGGAGTGAGTATAATTTATTGAAAAAAAGGTTCGGTAATCCAAGTATTATTTGTTTTCCGTCTTTACAAAATAATACTTGGATTTCCGAACTTATGTGTTTCTACAAAAGTTGGCAGTGCGTTATATCTTTATTAGATAGAAGAGTCATACTTATTCGCAAGATTCAGTTTTCTCTAAGCTTTGTGTGGTTCTCTCTCATTTTTTATGTAGTCTTCGGCAAGTGGCGCAGTAGCATATCATGTGCTTAATTCCTAATTTCTTCTCTTTTTAATTCATAAGTATAACTCATTTGCTACACTTTTTATCCCTTACAACCGATGCATGATTTTGAAAGAGAAAATCTTCAGGATATACCAAGAGACGTCGCTGGAGTTTCGTGTAAAAGACGCATATCTTCTGAAGAACGTCCACATTCAGCGGAACAGTCTTCAACAAATCGTGATAGAGCTAAAGCATCCTCAATAGTTGATTCACGGAAAAATGTTGCATCTCCGATAGAATCCAAGCTGTCGTTGAAAACAGGTTTTTCTAAACGTCAAAATAATGTTTTTTTCAAAAATAATGTCATTCAAAAATAATGTTAAAAATAACTCAAAATAATGTTTTTTTTCTTTTTTTTTCTCTTTTTTTTTATTACCGATAACTATATATCTTCAAATATTCGATCATTTAGTGAGGAGTATTCGTAATTGACTTGTTATGGAAAAATGCAGAAACAAAGAAAGAAAAAACTGTGTATAACATTCTGCTGAGTGCATAAACAGAATGTTATACAGAGTTTTTTTGTGATTTGCAAAAAAAAATAAAATTTTTTTTGTAGGAACTTCGGATGAAGCTTTAACTCTGGACACATCCATGTCACTCAGCGAGAGGCTTTTAGCTAATGTCGGTCTGCCACCTCCGCCACCGTATTCAGAACGCGATTCAGCTAGCATAGCTTCACAACAGTAAGATTTCATTTCTTTTTTTTTTGTTGATCATTTTCTTAGGATCTGTAGAATTTTTGTTCGTGAAAATGTAGTTGCCTGATAACAAGAAATTCATCGTGATAGATGTTTACCGCTGCAATCTTGACCATACCTTACAGATATCCACGTGTTCGACAACCGATGTCACCTGTAGGTGCGCCACATTCCTGGCAAATTTCATTGAACGCTCGAGTGAATCGTCCAGAAGATGATTCATCAGTTGAATCCACGTCAACGGGTGTCGAAATGGAGGATGTACCACCACCATATGAATAAATGCTGGCTCGGTAGGGGTGATGTAAAAGTTATTCCAGTAAATTTGATCATTGAATACAAAGTTTCATTTATTTTATGAACAAGGTGTCACCGAAATCTTTTTCATCTTTTTTTTTTTTATTTTGATAAATCGAGTCAGATAGGACTGATGGTATATTTTTTTAGAGAATTTTCTTCATATTACTAATTCTTCATTTGCAGTTTTTTTTCTTTATTACAACTTCCCAACTAAATCGTCGAGGCTGTAATCTATATGTATTCCTTTTTGTAGTTTCTGAACAATAAACATTTGTAAGATTGAATGAGCTGTCAGTTAGCACGCATTCTTAAACTTTATATTAGTTGTGTACAATCGATTAGGCAGAGCACGCATTCCTGAGGCTTTCGAAATATTTGTGGTTCATCTTTTATGAATGAATTTGTTGTTGCGGTCGTTGGTGCTCAGGAAACTTTCAGTATTTATTGTATTTTCCAATTTTATACTTATTTTCCTTTTTTCCCTCATGGTTATTATTCGCCCATGAATTTTTTTTTGCAGTTTTTCGCCTTGTAATTACATTTTTTTTTTATACATAATTCTATCTGTTTGTATTATTTTCACTTTTTCTCTTTCTTTCCTTTTATCCTTCACTAAATTCTTAGACCTCCTTTTTATCGAATTTTAATTTATGTATGCTTTTTGATTGAATGATTTCTTCTGTCGTGGTAACGAAAAGTTGCTGTAAATTTTAATTTTTAAAAATTGACAGGTAATTAATTTTTTGTATTAATAGTATTAGTTTTTGCTAATGCTATTATACTACGTTTGCTACTTCTGCTATCACCGTTAATGCTGCTCTTTGTAATATTGGTATTTCGTCTTCCGCTTCTTGTCGCTTTTCTAGCTTACGTAAAATTTTCTTTTTATTGATCTTATTTTGAATTATTCCTACTTTCCCACAGCTACTATGGTTACAGTCATGATTATGATCTTATCAGTTATCATTAGTTGCTACTATTATTTTGTTGCTATTCAATTAAGTAACCTTAGTACAAAATAATATATTTTATGCGCAAATTCAGCCATAAGCAGCTGCAGCTTTTTGCAGATAAAGGAAACATGTTTCCGTGAAACTGATTTCTGCCAACGCAGAGCTATAGTAGACAAAGCAGGTGATTAATATTTAAACAAACAGTGATCCACCATTTGTTTGTTTTTTTTAGAAAGATATTTTACCTTAATATATTACTTATCCATAGATCTTATTAGTAGTGTTAGTTGATTCTTCATATGTATTTGTATATTCATTAATGTGATTGTGAATTTTTAAATCACTGTCATTTCAGAACATGAAAACGGGAAAAATTAAAAATTTTTCTTCCCATGGAGAGTTACATTTTCTTTTCTTTTTTTTTAAGAAAAAAAATATGCAAACCGTTCTCATTTGTCATTTCATCTTCGTCATCTTATGTACTATTATCCGTTGTTTCTCTTTTGTTTGAACTTTGAAATTGCGAATTGAAAAGCTTTCCGTCTCTCATCTTATGTATGTGTATAAATGAAAAGGATTCTGTGAACGAAAACATTGTCAAAATGGCATATACGCTTTACCATTTTATGATTGTCGAATATGAAATTTCGAAATTTTCATTTTTTTTCTTTTGTTACAACTGAATTGAATCCTGAGCGTTTGTTCTATTGAATAGCTTTGAGATGCACAGAGTTTATCTGTCGGATAATATGGATATATTGTCATTTGACATTTATAAAAATTTTTTTCATCATTATCAGAACAAGAAATTGCTGGAACGAGAGTGTGATGAGGTATTTATATTACATCTGATAAGCATATATCATGGATCATTTCAGAAGTTTTTTTTTTTTCTCGTTCGAGGATTTTTATCTCACAAAGGATGCTGTTTCGTTTTTAAACCTGGAAATGGTTAGATATTTGGGAGTGATTTACAAAAGTAATTGAGGAAAATAGAATGAATAAATAATCATCTCTGCCAGTTAATCATTTGATTGATTATATAGCCATGAAAGCGAGATTTGTGCTACTTGTATTTTCCAGTCTTTATTATTTATTAAAATAAACTTATTGTAAGCGTAATAAAACAATCAGGTAAATAAGCGAATTAATAATTATTCAGCCAATAAGTATGCGAGATTTATGGAATTGAAACAATAACAAAAAAAAAGTGTTCGAGAGGATTGAATATGAAAGAATTGCAGGATTATATTGTTGCATCTACTTCCAAATGATTAGAATTCTTTTTTTTTTGCTTCAATAAATAAACATGAAATCTATTGATCTATTAAAATGGTCGAAAAAATACGGAAATAGTGACGGAAGGGAAGATGAAACAATAATGATTTTTAAATGTACCCAAGGAAATACATCAATTACATATGATAGAAACCTGAAATAATTCATTCTTAACAGCCATCATTAATGACATTTTTGAGAATATCAGGAGTCAAATCAGGACATTCATTAAACCCGTCATTTCCTTTTTCATCAGTACTAACACCATCACCTCTTCCTCCTCCATCTCCTCCTCCTCCTCCTCCACCTCCTCCACCTCCTCCTCTTCCTCCTCCACCTTTCCCCTTTCTCCTCCTCCTTTTCTCCTTCTCCTTCTCCTCCTCCTCCTCCTCCTCCTTCTCCTCCTCCTCCTTTTCCATTTGTAATACCTGTAGTATCTTTTTCCTTTTCTGGCGTTCCTTCGGGTTCTACATTCTCTTTCGAGGCACTTTTCTAAAGTTACAAAAGTAGGATTTGAAATGAAAAAAAAAAATTAAATCCAATGATTATCAAATGAGATTCGATTAACAATATCGATTAGTTTAAGAAAGGAATATGAATTCAAATAGCAAACAAAATTAATAATAGGAAATGAATAAGATCAATGAATTAGCAATACGAAATAGAATAATGATCAATTAGTCATTTTTCGACATAATGCTACTCATATTTTTTTCAAATATGTTTAATATCTAGAAGAAAATAGATCTTAATTTCAAAAATGTTTCGATTTGTTTTAATCAAAAAAAAAATTTTAAACACATTAAGATGAGAGGGAAAATTAGTCTCTTATGAGAAATATTACATGAAAAATTCATTTATCAAATAGAATTTTCTATCTTGCATATTTGATTACAATTAGCTTTTTAATTTCCTATACACGATTAATTCATTCATTTTCGCCTACTTCACAACTACTGATTCTATCTACTACCGCTTTTCATTCCAGTCTTGCCCATTACAGTATCTTGTTTGGAAATATTTCATCTCATAATTATCATGTCGTATTAATGTACTACTGTTTTTTGTTTTTTGTGATTATAAACATGACAAAAATGCTCGGTCATTTTTTCTTTCTTTGAAGTTTTTGAAATATTAGAAATAGAAATTAACGATTACCTTAATATTAGTTTTTGATTCACCAGATGGTAATCCTTCAGTAGGTACGGTACCAGTGGGTGCCTGTTTATCCTGATATGATGGAGTAGGTGAATCTTTAGCATAAACTGGTGTTACTGGAGGTGGTGGTACTTGTATCATTGGTATGGCAGTGCTGCGCATTGAATTTGTTATTTCATATGTTTGCTTCTTTTGACTAGCACATTCCATTTGCAGAATGATCATTGGTGCCAAAAATAGCATCGCTACAAAAAAAAGTATTTGTGAAATATTTTTGTGATTATCAAATTTTTGGACTTCATTTGAATTCATTTTGTGATTATTAAATTTTTGAATTCATTTTTTTTTGAATTTCTTTACAAATCAAACATAAACCAAAAAAAATAATTTATTTCATTTTGTTCTTTGGTCAAGGAAAAATAATTAATTTACTTGTCATTAATAAAAAAATTTTTTTTGTCGAAGATTTTTTTCTATAACAAAGATTATGTCCATCAAACATTATCAAAGATTTTTTTCCTTCCTCCACAATAAAGAAATGTTATGTGGTTATTTTTTCTAAAAAAAAGAAACGGATTTATTTGCTAGTATATACTTAATTAATTACCAACTAATTAATCATTTATCATCTTTATTGGAAAAAATTTAGCGAAGTAAAAAAACAATCATTTTGATTAAATCCTTAAATGTAAATTAAAAAAATGTTGTATAAATTAGCATACCTGATAATATGGAAATAATCAGATAATAAATGATAATGTTTGATAAATAAAACATCATATTTTGCATGATTTACTAATTCAAATTATTTCCCCTGTAGAAATTCTTTCCATAAATCACAAAAATTTTCAGTTTTTTCGCTTTTTTTTGCAACAATTATTAACAGTATATATTATTGTTACGTTTAATCTTTGGACTTTAATTTTTGAACCAGAAATTAAAATTTGCTTTCATCCTAATTGTATTTTATGCAATCAATTGTTTGTAATAAAAATTATTGGCTTTGTCGATGAAATGATAAGGGAATTGAACTGGCGATAATCGTATAATATTAATTACAAATAGTATTAGAAGCATTCATCACTAAAAAAAAATTTCAAAGTACTACAACGAAAGATTACAATCTGTAATTAGTACTGTTTGAATTAAAATATTAACCCGTCAACAATTGATGTGCTCATTACTAAATAAATTCTATTAGTTTATTTATTATTATTATTATTATTATTATTATTATTATTATTATTATTATTATTATTATTA